TGCTGGTCCCCAACCCATTGACTTCCATAGTAGTAAAAAATATACTATTGAAGTCACTGGGGACCAGCAACTGTTTGGTTACTTTGGTTATTTTCAATTGAAGAAAGAAACTTATTTGTGTTTAAAACAACTTGAGAGAATAAATGATGACAATTTTCATTTTTGGAGACCGATCCCTTAATGTTAATAAAACAACAAAACACTAAGAGAAAATCACTCACTGCTCATGACTGAGAACTTTAATAGCAGAGTTTATAAGAATCAGTCTATAATTTATACAGTGAAGTCTATACACGCTTTATTTTTATATTTGTTCATTTAATTTCTTTCTTGAATGCTACTGTTAAATACACCTACTGTAGTTGAAAAATAAAGCAGTTTATTTTGTTTGTAGATTGTTGTGTATGTAATGTTTATATTTGTTCTTATTTTTGAATAACAGAGAAAATAATGACAAAGGTTTTTATCTTCACCACAGTGGCCTAAATGTCTGCCATTCTTTTTTATTTCATATTTTGTTACATTGTAAGTCTTTGTTTTTAAAATGGGGACATTAGCTCAGTCCTATCAAAATAGTAAAACCAACATGAAAAAGAATCGTGATAAAATCATGAATCGTGATTTTCCTGAAAAAAATTGTGATGATATTTTTGATGTCTTATTTACCTAAGAACATAGGTTATAAAGCTAAATATTAAAAAGGAAGGAAGAGAATTAAGGAATTTATTAACTGGATTGTTCATAATAGTGAATACTGAACACCATTATTATATAATTGATGGATCAAATTAAAATAGCATGCTTTTTTTTTCATTTTCATAAAAACCTGTTCCCTTACATGGTCCATTTTCGGAGACTTTAGTTTTGTCCCTTATCGCAAGAATCAGTGACTTGATTTTTTTATAGAACGTCAGGCCTGTTCAGACCAACTCTGACTTTTCGGCCTTTTAGATTTTAAAAATAAAACAATGCATCTCTACCCTTTTTTTTCCAATTTCATGGGACCTTTACATGGCACTGTATAAAAAAAAACGGGAAGAAAAAAATCAGAGAAAAGATGTGATATAGCAAGGAATTTTATTATACTTACGTTATATCATGTCTGCTGCATATGTATACTAATAGTAGTATTAACTTGGACTACTTATTACCAAAATACCTTGGTATTCCTGTATTACAGTACTATTAAGTCACACAATTTTTTATTATTTCCATAGTTCAGTTCCAGAAGATTGACAACATTTCAGTTGTTGTGGTGGGTTGCATTTTGCACTGAAGCATGTGAATGACGGAAGTGCATTTTAATTTAATTTAGGCATGCAAATTTATTTATTTATTTTTTCAGAAAATTGTTACGATTTACAATGTCTATATAGTTTTTGCGCAAGTTTGTTTGCAAACTTTTGTGTCAATTATTGCAACACACTTGGTGTGAACAAGCCTTAAAGGGTTAGTTCACACAAAAATGAAAATTCTGTCATTTTCTCATGTTGTTCCAAACCTGTAAGACTTTTGTTCATCTTCCGAACACAAATGCAGATATTTTTTAATGAAATCTTAAAGATTTCTGTCCCTCCATTAAAATTCTACGCAACTAACACTTTGACGCTTCATAAAGAGATTGTAAAACTAATCCATATGAATTGAGCAGTTTAGTCCAAATTTTCTGAAAATACACAATCGCATTATATGATGAAAAGACTGAATTTTGACTTTAATTCACATTTAAACATTCATCAATACATATATCAGTTATGGGAAACGTCTCTGTTACTGTTGTAACCCTCGTTCCCTGATGGAGGGAATGGAGACGTTGTGTCGAAATACCGACACTAAGGATTGCTCTTGGGAGACCAGACACCTCTGACGTATTCAGAAAAATTGTATGTAAAATAACGATAAATTACTGGCAGCACAGACTCCAGAAATCTACTGTAATTCGACAGTATTCGTACTGTGAAATTGCATTACAGCGTATTACTGTAAAAACAAAATACTATTTTTCAATTTACAGTAAAATACTGGCAGCAGAAGTGCCAGCAATATACTGTAATTCTATGGTATTAATACTATGAAATTAATTTACACCCGTTTACTGTAAAAAAAAATACATGCAATACATTTCTGTGATCATATCCATTTACACTCTAAAAACAACCCATTAGGCCATTTTGGCAACTCTGCTCTGGGTCAAAAAGGGAATCCAAAATAGGTTGAAAATAAAAAAAAACTCAGGCAACAGTAATAGGCTAATAAAAAGGTGAACATTTATTTATAAGCAAGAACACGCAAAAATTGACATAAATATGGACAAGCCAACAGGCCAACTATGACCAAAACCATCAGGCTGAGTGCCACCAAGAAACACACAGATTGAAAGCCTGTAATAAACACAGAAAGGATTTTACCCTCTCCGTTTAATGCGTTCATAATCACTCACTTATAAGCAATCTCAAGCGCCATTCCAGCTTGTTTAGTTTCTGCTCATCAGTCACTCACCATTTGAGTGATTTGGATGTGAGAAGAAAACACTCCAACAAAATCCTCCAGTTTTAAAAGAACGCATTCCTCGTTGCAGTCAGTTTCAAAATGTCACATATATTCTCGTCATAAGCGATGCGAACACAGACAGGTTTGTTTCAGGTGCCTCTTTTTCAGTTTTACTTCCTGTTCATCACAGTCACGATACAGTTTTTAAAAAGAATGCGTTCCTCGCTGCAGTTAGTTTCAAAGTTCTCTCTCCTCACCGCTTCGATTTAGTTTTCTTCTATTTTTCACACGTATTCCTGTCATGAGCACTGTGAACACGGACAGGCGAAAACTTACTTGTACTCAAACTCTTACTGTGAAACACTCGTTCAGTGCCATTGTGCTTTGCTTCAAATGGACCAGCCCACAACGCATTGCATACTACAGTACAAAACCTTAATGCATAAAAACAGTAGATTAGTGTTGAAAATAGGTTGTAAATTAACAGCAATTGCTTACCGTGGAAAATGTTGTCTAGAATGCATTGTTTTCTGTAGTACATTACTTGTTTAATGGAAAACAGTGTTACTGTCAGATTTTGACCATTTTTTACAGTGTATGCATCAAATCCGAGCGGCGTTACAGCGGCTGAAGATGCCAAATGCCCCAGGAGCTTCTGAAAGTATTTGAGAGGGACCGCTGTCTTGTACTTGAACGTATTCAAGCACGGTCTTCTGAGAGATATGTTGTCATTGAAACAGAGTCCAACTCCACATCGAGAAAAGAAATGCTCTGCACAGGGGAGAGCTTGCTCTTCTCCCAGTTGACCTGAAGCCCCAGTCTGGCTAGGTGCTTGAGGATCAGGTCCCTGTGCACACACCACAACTCTCGAGAGTGAGCTAAGATTAGCCAGTCGTCAAGGCAGTTGAGGAAGTGAATGCCTGCATCCCTCAAGAGGGCAAAGGCAGCGTCTGCAACTTTGGTAAAAACGCAAGTAGACAGGGACAACCCGACAGGGAGGACCTTGTACTGATATGCTTGCCCTTTGAAGGCGAACCGTAGATCTGTGCCGAGGAAGGATTGAAACATAAGAGTACGCGTCCATGAAAGTACAAGTCTATCGCCTCAAACCAATCCTGATACCTAACACATGTTAAATACTCTGGGGTCTAAAGGGGAACATACTAAATATTTGTCCACAAGACTTTTGAGTACTGGAGTACTAGAATTTTTGTTATTCATTTTGTTATTTGTTATTAATAATGTGAAAGAAATCCTGTCCACTCATTCACATAAAAGAATATGTTGATTTAATTTTTTAAGACACTTTGTTTAGAAAGGTCATATGCGAGGAGATGTGAAAGATAATGAACGATGTGATTCACACCTGAGGAGATTAAGACCCTCTTGTGGGCCTTGGGAAGAGTGGGAACTACAAGTAAGAATGTAATTACAAAAGAGATATATATATATATATATATATATATATATATATATATATATAATATGTATGTATGTATGTATTTGTAGTTGTAGTTTATTTACAAAATAATTAATAACATAATTCAAATATAAATTAGGGTCTAAGGCACATTTTTATAGTCATACCTGGAAACTACCATGAAGCTTGCGGTGTCAGAATGCCGATCTCTGTCAAGTCTGAAGCAAGATGCAACCCATTGCAATGCGTCATAGCATCGGGAGATAAAAATTAAACGGTAAATAAATTTTTTTTGAGTGATCCGTTTCAAAAGTGTGCATCAAAATGCTAAACACGTAAGCTTGAATGTGTTTGATGAGCTAGAACAGACCTCATTAGTTCTCACGTGTCACCCACATTTGAGCTTCCTCTTTTCCTTTTAATGGTGGTTTGCAAACGCACTTGAAGGTGCATACCGCCACCTACTGCAACTGTGTGACAGCTCACATAAAATAAGATTGGGCTTAGGATAGCTGATACCAATTAGTTAAGAAATATGCTGAAATTACTGGTTCTTGAGATCTGCTTGGGACTGGTAGTGGCTGGTAAATGAGCAGAACAAACACATTTGGCTGGTGGTGTGTATTAATTTTATACTCTGCTTGTAAGGTTTACATCTTTTGTTTTTGTGTGTGTATTCTAAACTCACATGGGCTTTGATAACTTTAATATTTGCTCTAATTAGTTTTTTTTTACTTGCCCTGTGCATATTCTGAGGGAAATATTTTTTTAAGCACATATTACATTTTACATTACATTTTTCTGTTCTCAGGGATTTTGGCACTCATGTCAAATATGAAAAAAATACTTCTCTTATTTTCTTTTGTTTGGCTTCTTTCCTAACTGCATGTCCTGCTTAAGCTCTGGGTGTTTGACTGGACATGGACAGATAAAACCGATAAAGGGATGTAGCTTAAAAAAAAAAAATCTAATTATTGAACCTAAACATTTCCTTTTGAAACCTTTTTTTTATATTTATTTGCAGAATTTTATGTACAGTCTTTAGGCTTATTCATTTCTCACAATCTATTTTACTCTGTTCTAATCTCAGGGGCTCAATGACCAGCCTGGAATCTAGCCACAGTGGTTTCTCTCAGCTCAGCGCCGCCACCACATCCTCCAGCCAATCACAGTCCAGCTCCATGATCTCCAGGTAGAATGGAAAGATGTTTAGGTTCTAGAATGTTATATAAGTGCAGAACTCGATTCTCAATCAACCCCATTACTACTCTTCCTCTGTCATCTACCCCAACACTGTATCACTCCATGTCAAGGATCTAAAGAATGCTTCCACAACTAAAAAGAGTGTAAAAGATATCCGTCTCAAAGGATTCTGGTGACTGTAGTTGTTTTTAAAGGGCTTGAATCTGCTTTGCCGTAGGGGTCAGCTGGGCTGCAGGTCTCTTTATGGTCTGATTGTGCTTTGTGTGTGTCCAAAAGAAGTCGCTCTTTATCATGCATTTCTACATTTCCCATGGACCACATGCTGAACTAAGCAATACATGTTCTCAAATTGGAAAGAGTCTGAAATTAAGCAACTGAATGTCTGCATATGCCCCCCACACACATCTCAAATACTGCACATACCTACACAAATGCACTTAGTTCTGCCATATCACTTGGAGCTCACCCTCTTGGTAAATTGTTTTTAGGTCAGTGGGTGAGCTTCTGCAATAACTTAGAACAATTTGTACTATTTGAATTTGGATTTATCGTAAAATGTTTTTGGATACTGTATTAAGTCGTCTTAGGTGCTACAAGCTTGTTTCCTCATTGTTAGTGTGTGGCTAGACTTGCAGTTTGAACACAGAAAAATGTTTAGTGAAATAGTCACAGTACTGCTTTTGTGCTCATTACTACTAGTGTTGGCTTCAATTTTGACTTGGTGAAATCACCTTGATATCGAACCTTAGACTTGCTGCTGATCAGTTCCTATGCAGTCAGCCAATCAGTGCTTGGAATGGTCATTCATAATAATAGGTCAATTTTTTTTTTTTAATGACAGTCAGCTTTCTTAGAAGAGAGGCAGTGGACATTTTGTAGTGGACAAAATGTAGTGGATAAAAACATATTTATCATTGCTTCAATAGAATGTCTTGTCACATACAAGGGTCTTGAATCCAAGTTTTTTTATGGTTTATTACAGAAGGTAAAGGAAAGTTGTTTTCTTTTTGTTTGTATTTTGCCTCTTTAGCTTGATAGTTTATATTAGTAAAGACTTGGAGTGAAGCATGCTCTTAAAGGCTCTGTAAAGGCTTAAATAACTTGCTTATTTGTTCAGGTTAAAATATAAATAAGAGTTTTAAACAATGTAACCGCATTTTAGCCGAGAGCATGTCCATTAATTCAGGTGACTTTTTAACAGATTTGACACCATGCACAACAAACTGATTTCACCCGTTTACTGTCCTGAGAGAATATGTGTGCACATTGTGAGGTTTACCTGAGGACAGTGGATGTACACGCTCACATTTAGCTTGCCCCAATTGCTTGAATGATGCCATAGCCCAATAGTCTGAAGATACTCCTGTCCTCCATTTCTCAGACTTATCAGTTCTGGTCTCATGGACAGAACACTTTAGGGAAAAAGAGATTGTTACACTGAACAACAGCTAGTTTTTACATGTCGCTCCTAGAATATTGATCATAATATAGTATATTTATAATTACAATGAATTGTGTTGTGGAAATATTCTCTAAAAATAACACATAGTAAGAGTAAGTACAAGGAGAAACAAGTAATAGTTTTCGTTTGATGGTTAAAAAAAGACATTGTCAAAAAAAAAAAGGATTATTTTCCAACTGTTGACTTCCATTGAGCTACCACTCCTTGAAACTTCTAAACACCCCATGAAGCACATATTCTGAACCATGTGTACTCTGAAGTCCCTTTATTTGTCTACAAGCTGCCAGTCAGGTAGGAGTTTCAGGGCTTACCTTTCAGAATTGAATGGTGTTTAACCATGCACAGGTTAGTACACTTGTTTTATGCTTTAGTATTTAGGGAAAAAAGTGAGAGATTCTATTTACAGTACAGTTTTTAAAATTAATGCTTTAATAATGCAAAAATTGACATAAGACCCTTGTATCAAGTGTAACTATGTAATCCTTTACTGTGAAGAGAGTTCTATGTAATTTGTATGAACCTGTGGTTGTTTTTCACCTCCTTCACTTACCTGTTGCAGCCATCTAATGCAGTATGTCAGTGCTAATTTGTATGCCATTTTAAATTGTGTGTCTGACTGTTAGCTAGACGAGACCCCAAATATTGTGATATGCAAGCATCTGCACAGTAAATACATAAGTGCTACTGGTGTAAAAAAAAAAAAAAAAAACACACAGGGCAGACTGATCTCATGAAATGGCGTTTGTATGACACGCCAATTCGTATTTCCATTTTTGGCGTGCTATCAACACGCATAATCGCTTTTCAGCGTGTTTATCAACGCCGTTGACTTACATTTACTGTATATATAAATATATGACCTACCCCAACCCCGTCCCTAAACCTACCCATCACTGGGGTTAATACCATTTATGAGTCTTCCCCTACCATCCTAGGAAAAAAAATATCGCTCCCCAGATGTAGATCTACATTTTGCTTCGTTTCGCTCGGACATTTAACGGCGTGTACATACACACGGAATCACTCGGACATTTAACGGCGTAGACATACACGCAAAAGATGACGGTTCGTTTCAGCGTGGACATACACGCGGATAGCTCAAAATGCATATAGATAACACGCCACTTGACCTGAAAGTGGCGTGTATGTTTACGCAAAGTCATGATGCCATGATGCACAGGGACACACTTGTAGTCTTCCTTATCTTCAACTAAACAGAGCAGTGTGTTTGAGAAGTAAATTCACACCCACCCAGCGTTCCGCAAACAAACAGCAACATTCTCATTGTGTAAGTTGAGCTTTGAATATTTAGAAAAAGAATCAGCTGAACTAAATGAATGTGTGTTTGTGTTTGGATCTTTTTAGATTTACATGATCTTACAGAATCTCAGCTTTTCTATGTAGTGATAATACTTAGCATAAAAACACCAACACGCATTATGTTTGAATATCTCTTTATGGGGTCTCATCTGTGTTTGAGGGCTATTAACTGTTTGTTTCTGTCTGTTTTCTCCCTCTGTGTGTATTCTCCTTTATTGTAAAATGTTACATATCTGTTTTTTCTCTGACAAATTCTGTATGAACAAATTTAATATACAAATATAGTGCCTTTACATTTTTTGAAGTTATTAAACTTTAATTAAAGAGATGCTTATGCTGGTCCTCCTTTGTGTGTGTGTGTGTGTGTGTGTGTGTGTGTGTGTGTGTGTGTGTGTGTGTGTGTGTGTGTGTGTGTGTGTGTGTGTGTGTGTGTGTGTGTGTGTGTGTGTGTGATTAAGTTAAGGATGAGTTTAGGGTAGGGGTTTGGGTTAGGCAATATATGAATATCCTCACAGAGATGGATGTACAAGAGTGTGTGTGAGAATACATACATTCATTTTTGTCATTCCTTACCACTTTATTGGTTAATGTTTACCTGGGAGGTCACAATTCATCCAGTTCCTAACTAAAAGTACTGAATAGCTGTTTCAATTCAAACAATGAAATCAACATTTTAATCTAAATGAGTTCAGGAACAATCACAGGCATATGCAAAATCCCTTTCTTTTTCAAATATATTTACTGAACATTTTGCAACTTTAGCAGAAAGCACAGCAAAAAATTCAACCTCGATTAAGAAAAATACATGAAAAATACTTGTATAACAGATTCACTGACTTTTTTCCAGGTGTCTTAAATAGTACTGTAGCGACTGACCGAATCCTGTTTTCCTTTCACTACTGAACAAATATGAACACATATATGTTTAATTCACAAAACCTTGAATCATGTGATATGGTGCCCCAATGTCTGCCAGCAGGTCATTGATTAACTTCATTTATGATGCATTGCACAATCAAGAAACAGGTCCCCGTTGTTCTCAAATCCTTACACTGCTTGCAATTTGCGTTCAGTCACAAAGAATAAGAACTGATCCATTCAGGGTCTCAAGCTAGTTCCCCCCCTAATAATTATGTCTGATAAGTGGAGTTACACACAAAACTACCCTTTGTCTTGAAGACAACCATGGTATACACCACGGATGGACAGATGTGGACCATAAGGACAATCACACACGCCACACATACCCGCACACAAACGTCCTTTGTGTGAAACTTAGGATAGAAATGTCCTTAATGTATATAACACAGAATTGTATCTGACCTTCCTGTATGCATGCATATCTAATTAGTTGTCTTATTCTATAGATGTAATTTGAGACTGTTCTGTAACTTCGAATCTTAAGTTTATTTCTAAAGAAAGATTCCCCAACAGGATCACCTTCTGTAACTCTCCTTCTTGCTAGGTCATAAAACTTTATGACTCCCAAAAGGAATTCCAAGGTAATCACAGCTCCCACTTGAATTCTGATGAAGAAAGAGGAATAGACTCAGCAATCTTATATTTTCTATAAGTATAACCACTTAAGAAATGTATAAACATGAATTTGATCTTTCCTAGGTCATGGTAGCCGGTATTATGGCTTTATAGTCGTGTGAGTGAACATTAAATGCTTATAATATGCATATCTTATGTAACTTTGTATTCCGATAATCTTCCTGTGACATGTTTGATATCCCTGTAATTCTATCAATCTAACGGAGCCGAATTCCGATAGCAGGATGCAGTAATGTGCATGCTGGTACACCTTTCATATTCCTGAAGCCGAACGGCTCAAATACAATCTCCTCATGACTCAGTCAAGTGGGCATCCCCCCCCCCCCCCACATGACAAAGAGAACTTTGTCCGCTTCAGATTCGCGGACGGTCATGTGTGGTTCGCGCAAACAGAGGCGTGAACCCAGTTGTTCCATGAAAGACTGACCCCAGGAAGTTCCTATGGAGAGTTTTTTTCCTGTGAGAGGTTTCCGGTTCCATGGCTCCTTAGGGATCTTTACGCCGTGTTTCTCCGTTTTCTTTAATCTTTCTTTATTTTCGTCTTCGGACTTTTTCTTATGTTCAGTTTCGGTGAAGTGAACGTAATCGGCAACTTCAACTTTAAAGAGACTCTTTGAACCTTCAGCGACTACGCTCACCCGGAAGAGCTGAGAAAGTACGCACCCGCTCTTAAGGACACACACGCAAAACGCGGTTTTCCTCAGCAACACAAAGAGAACCAAAGACCTTTAAGCCTTCATTCAAACTAACGCGCTTTGCCCGCTCTGAAAGACCACGTGAATGCGTGACACGAGGACAGAGACACACTCACACGCTTTCGTTCTCAACCCCACGGAGAATCATGCAAGTATCGTAATTCCTATCGATCTAAATGCTTTAAGATCTGTTACCCCATTCAGGGGATTTGATCTTTGGGTCTCTCAAGGTTCATTTTGTCTGTGGTTTGTGCCGTACTGCAATCTCTAATCCTGACCTTTAGTTTCACTTTCTCATCCTCTTACTCTCTCTCTCTCTCTCTCCCTCTCCTCTCTCTCTCTCTCTCTCTCTCTCTCTCTCTCTCTCTCTCTCTCTCTCTCTCTCTCTCTCTCCCTCATTGTTATCTTCCTCTCTCATCCAATTTATTTCGTGTTTGTAATGTTTTTCGTTTTGTGTGTTCGGGTGTATACACTTATATATTCTGTGTGAAATTATAGTTCAATGTATTATTAGTCCCATTATTAAAGCCATTATATTCTTGATTGCTTTCTGTCTAAAAGGCTCATATTTACAAGTCAATGAAATGATTGGTCTATAGCTACAAAGCTTTACAATTTGTTAATATTTCAGTTACCTAAATTTTATAAACACAGGAAAATTAATGTTCACGGCCAGAAAATGGATATTTCTTGGAGTTTATAAAAAGGGATAACTTTGTTGAGAAGTTGATAAGTTAATCTTACGGCCGTTTGCTGGACAAACCGATTGTTTGATAACTAAATTAATTCCCTTAAAGTTATCTCATATAATCGATCTGTGATGAGACCATTGATATATGAATGAGGAATTATAATTCGTTGTGATTGATCATTCATATACATCAATCGATCTATTTTCAATTTCGATAAGTTAACTGTAAATCATATTCATGATTAATTATTAAAATTCCCTATATATAATTTGAGCTAATTAATGCAAAACTCAATGTTGCTACAGTTTGGTGGAGAATGCGGGCACATTTCAATTGTTGTTTTATGAGTAAATTCAGTTTCAATCTGTTTTTATGGTTATTAACAATTTTGTGCACGCACGCTATGAAATTATGAAATTGTGAGATAAGTCGCAACGCGAACTCACTCCTAACTGACTGAGGCAAAAACCCGACGTCAGTCAGTAACGTTACATTTTAACAGCTGCTAAAATATGCATAGACATGTTTTTTTTTTTTTTTTATCACTGTTAAATGCTGAGTACACTGCAGTATTAATATTACAAATGTCCTGTTAAGAGATGAAGAAAACTCTCTGCAGGTGATACATTTTAATATTTTTAAAACCGCCTATTAAAAGACGAAGAAATCTCTTTTTAGCGCGAGACGTAAATCTGATCAGAGCGAGATTCCTTTGATTCAGTAGTAAAAAGGCCTGATATATAATCGTTAGATTAACGATAACTCCTGGTAAAAATTGGCTTAGCTAACCAATTGTAAACCTAACACATTTGAATCATAAGTGCTATATTGATTGTGTGTGTACGGGAGTCGAACAGCAGACGTACATTCCTGTTGTCCACAATTTACGTGTAGTGCAGCGAAGAAATCCTGCCACACACTTTTGTGAAATATAGCACCGAGAAAAATGTGTGATTTGTGCAGTAACGAAGCGTCTGCACGCGCTCAAATTTGAATCACATTTGGAAGCAGGCTGGTTGTAGTTCCGCTGACAAACACTAAAAGCAGCCTTTGAGTGCTTGGCAGCGCAAGTTACTTCCACCCTATGGCTTCAT